CTTCTGGGACAACTTCTGCGAGAAGATCGAAATGTTGCTGATCAGCTCCTCAACATGAGCACACCGCACCCACGCGTCAACGCTGCACTTCCCTCGAGCTTTCGAGTAAAAAACTGAACGGATAACCCGGAACTTGCTGGTGGGACCGCGAGCAAATCTTACCGAACCAAACCATCAACGTCCGGGTACACGCTCAAATGGATTACAGATCCGTGGATGTGGCGCGTGGGCGCCAGACCCACTGTTCGGCGAAGGTAGCCCCCGAAACATGAAGCCAATGCGACCCGACTTTGCGACGGACGGAACGCGCCGATTCTTCACGAAAACGGCACCCACCGCGAACCCACGCGCCTTGATGCATGTTTACGCTTCGAACTGGTCGATTTTCATTGCCCAGAGAATGCAGCAAAGGCCGCATGTGCCTATGTACGTATCCAAGATTGCGTACGTGCCGGAGACCTGTGAGAAATGGCAGTCCACAGTGAGGACTGGCCAGATCTTTGCTTTGGTCTAAACAAGTATCCTGACCTGCAGACTGGGGCCCCTGACCCAGTCCAAAGCACAGAGCGGAAACATAGGGTCGCAACCGGCTGCAGCTCCTGTGCCAGCCCCTTTGACGGCAGAGATACGACGTCAGCTGATGCTAGGGTAGCCGGACCACCCAGGAGGACACAAGGGGGGAAGAGCGATGAGGAAGAAAAGAAGAGGAAGCACCCGGCGGCAGTTGCTGTGCCACAATAGGAAACAAGAAAGCAAACCCAACACCACCAGGGACAAATTCTTTGGCGATTCAAGCTCGAATGGGGTGGAGTGGGGAAAACGCGCAAATCCGAACGCGGCGCAAATAGAAGACATGGGCAGAAGACGGACTGGGGGGGGGAGGCGGCGCAAAACAAAGCGGTTGTTCACAAAACGGACGGGGGAGGCATGCGGGACAAAGGCATGCCGCAACGCTGCCCCAAGCCCTCGGGGCTACTGCACCCCCACCTCTCGGGATCACATCACCGACCCCCCTGCCCTACCCGACGTGGGACCCGAACCCGACGGCGACGGAATCCCGATCGAAGGGGGACCAACACCACCATGGACCCTCCCGCTGGGCAGGCCGACTGGGTCCCGAGACCCTGCAAGGGGCGGCCCACCAAGCCCCGCCGGCGGGCGCGACAAAGAGCCCGATCAGCAGCGACAGGCCTCCCACGTTCGACATGTCAGACGCCAGGCTGCTGTTCCGCTGCCCGTCGGAAACAGCCACTCCTCAACGCTCACACGATCCTCTCGACGCGTACGCGGGCACTTTGGGCGCACGGCTCCGTGGTCATAACGATCCCTGTTGGATCATACCATGCGGGTCGTTCGCGCGCGTCGGCTGCGCGAGCATGGCGCACTCTTCCCCGAATCTTCATGACCGACGCGAAAATACCCTCATCTTCGTCTGCGTGATCAGCATCGTCGCCGTAATCTGCATTGCCGCCGCCATCGTCATCATCGCCACCATCACCGTCACTATCATCGCGTCTACTATCGCCGACATCGCCATGATACCGAGCCCGCCCGAATCACCGAGTCGCACTGAAAGCGGCGGGAAATGCCCAGTTGTCAGCGCCACCACGGCCGCGTCGGTCGCGCGAAAATAGCTGGCCACTGCGCGCGCGAGCGCGCGCTGGCTAGCGCGGCCGCACAAAAGGCACCAACCAACGCCAAGCATTTACCGCAATTGCCGCCGCATGGGTTGTGCAAGCCAAGTTGCAGGCGGGCGGGCGGGTGGGATGATTGCGCGAGCAGTGAAGTTGACAGCTCCAAATGTGTTTCAAACTTGTGGCACCGGATAGATTATACCAAATAGGTCGCAAAACAACGAACCAGCCGACCCTGTCAGCGCAGGGAAGGAGGCTGTTCCGCCTGACTCGTCTTCGTCGACGTCGTCGTCGTCGTCGCCGTCGCTGTTGCCGCCGCCTTTCCCTCTCAAACCCGCCTGTCGCGCGCGCACGTCGAAATCGTTGGAGCGCCATCGCGCACGCTGTCGCGACACCCTTTGCTTCTTCCCCCCCCAAAAAAGGGGGCGCAGTGCAAGCGCGCGCGCCGTCGCACGCGCATAACGAACCCAACCGACATCGCCGGCCCTGCAAGGATGCCATAATCGCGTGCCCGACAACATGTAAAGAAGACATGGCTTTAACCTCTACCCTCAAAGAGAAGTTCGCGCGCTTGCGGATTCCCAAGATAATCGGGCGCCGCCCGACGCAGTCGTCAAATACGGCCGACAGGAGCTTTTCGCGAAGCAACTCAAAATCATTCGAACGTCCTGTTGCGCGCATGCCGGGAGGGAAGCGACCCGACAGGGCAATGCCATGCGGGCCATTCGCGCGGGGCGGCCGCGCGCGCGCGCACCGCCCCCCCCCCCCCCCCCCAATCCTTGATCACTGACGCGAAGACACCGTCATCGACGACGCAGTGATCAGCATCGGCGCCGCCAGTGTCTTGCCGCCGCCATCGCCATCATCGTCACAACCGTCGTTACTATCAACATCGTGCCCGCCGACCAGCACTGGAGTGCCCGCTGAAGACTGGCCAGCGATCAGTGCAACCGCAGCCGAGCTGGCCGCGCCAAAATAGCAGGCCGCCGCGCCCGCAAGCGTGCGCGGGCTAGCACGGCCGCAAGGATGCGGCATCCAACGCCAAGCACTCGTCGCTACCGCCACCGCATGGGCGCTGCGAAACATGACGCGGGCGGGCGAGTGGAATGCCTTCGCGAGCAGCGGATTTGACAAGCCCGCGCCTGTCATGTCAACTGCAAGACGTAGCTTGCATCGCGTAGATGCACTGCCATCCTATGTTCTCCATTCTGCACACATTCGCCCAGTAGAAGTCCCGACGCACGCAGCTGCGAATACCGCGAGACAGGTAGACACCAAGGGAAGGGGCGAACGTAAGGATCGAATAACAGACCGACATGGACGACGGGGTCGAATGGGGCCAGCCGCAACGGGTTGCATCTGGACGCGGCCCGTCGCGGCTGATCTGAGCTCCTATCGGCCAGGCCCCGCGGGGCAGCAGGGCGTTTTCTGGGTGACAGCTGACGGCGCGGACTTTGGCGAAGCTCCGATAGGGTCAGGAAATGCGCGAGGCGGCGCCAGAAAATGAAAGCGGCCGCGCATGCGACCCCCATCGACGGGGCATTCGGTGGAGCCCCCTAGGGGGCCGCGGAACGCGAGACGGGCGCGCCGAAATAGGCGCGGTCACCTATGCAAGTCGCGCCACTGGGGCCTCCTGCGAAGCCCTCTATGGGGCCGCGGATCGCGCGAGCGGCGCGCCAAAGTAAGCACTGTCGCGCATGCGATTCCTCCAGGCGGGTTCCCAGGCGGAGCTCCCCGCGAGGCCGCGCGCGAAGGGCGCGCCGACATGGGCGCTGTCCCGCGCGCGAATCTTGCAACTGGGGCCTTCGGCGGAGCCCCCGACGAGGCTGCGAACGCGCGAAGGGCGTGCTGATATTGTCTGGGGAAGCCCCGCGAGAGCAGCAACGGGGGCCTCCGGCGAAGCGCCCCACGGGGCCGCGACGCGCGCGGGGGGCGCGTCAAAGCGCGGCGGCGGCGCGCGAACACAACCGCTGGGGCCCTAGGTGGGGCCCCCCATGGAGCCGCGAACCGTCATCGGCAAAATCGCCATCGCGCCTGCCCTCATCAACGTCGCCGCGACACCGCGCCACCCCTTGTCGCCGACTCGCAATGAAATGCCCGCGCGTCAGCGCTGTCTGCGAAACGCGCATGGAAGTCCCCAGCTGTCAGCGCCACCGCGGCCGCGTCGGTCGCGCCGAACTCCCCGGCGGTTCTGCGCGCGCGCGCCTGCGCGCCAGCCTGCGCGCTATCGCGGGCGCAGCGATGCGCTAGCCAGAGCCAGGCAGTCATCGCAATCGCCACCGCGTGGGCCAAACCAAAAATTGCGGGCGGGCGGAAGGGGTGACTGCGCAAGCAGCAAGGTTGAAAACTTCAAATTATGTTAGCTGAATGTCACCACATACATGGATACAGCTTGATCACACCACATAAAAGTGCACCGCGCAGACCAGCCCGCAAAACTTGCACACGCACGTTGCCCACAGCGCGGCTTGCAGCACGGATTGCACCGCGCAAGTTGCACAACATTGCACCACGTACACTTCGCAACGAAGATTGCACCGCATAGATTACGCCACGCTGATCGCATCGCAAATATTGCACACACAGAGCATGCGAGAAAACACTGCTTGGGTTCCACGCTGGCGAAGCTGTGCACGCATGTCTGTGCGCCACACATAACAATACAACTGATATCGAACCACCTTTTGTTCAAACAAGTTCCACACGTTGGCGTTGCGAGCGAGCCTGTACTCGGAAGGCCCTCGGGCAATATCTGGATGCTCGGCAAGTCTTCATCGCAAAGGGCGCGTGGACGAGCTCACGAGTGCAATCGCGTCAAGTGGGAACCCCGTCGCTTGCGCGCGCACTTTCCAAACGGGAATATGCCAATCTGATGTCGTCGAAATTCATCAGCTGAACGCAGCGGCCCTGCCGGGCGGACAAGGTCATCAACGCATAAACGAGTAGACAGGACGTGAGCAACAGCGGCTGGCAGCACCAACTTCCCCGCGCGTCTGCGAGAAAGGCCCGGCGCCCTTGTCCAACTTGTGGAAACATGTCCACTAGAACCACGCGCGCGCTTCGCGCGCGCTTAGGTTCCAGCAAGCGCAGGCTCTTGACAATACCACGGCTGCGCGCATGGACAAAATCACGGCTGCACGAATGCACGCACCGACGAATGGTTTCAGCATGGTTTGAAACATCAACATGAGCCTGGCCCCAGCAGAGAAGGGTCTCTTGGGCGCCGCGGGGGGTTAGTCCAGGGTCTCGTTGTGCGTTTGCGGCCCATCTCACTGTGGAGCTCACGCTGTACAAGATGATTACTCGATCAAGCGAGGCCATATGTATGGGGGAGCGGGCAAGGAGGGACTGAGGGGAGGGGGGCGAGAGAGAGGAGGGAAGATAAAGAATGGAACCGATGCCCCAGCGTCCGCT